CTTCCACCATGATATAGAAACCTTGGGGCCAGCCAACCATGGACTGAAACCTCTGATATTGTGAGCCAAAATAAATCTGTCCAGCTTTTTTAAAAATATATTTTTAGTTGTTGATAGATGTTTATTTATTTTTATGTGGTGCTGAGGATCAGACCCAGTGCTTCACACATGGTAGCAAGTACTGTACCACTGAGCCACCCCAGCCTTTGTCCAGCTTTAAGTTGCTTTTCTCAGGTATTTTTGTCACAGTGACAAAAAGCTGACTAACACATTCTGTATATCTATCATTATCCCAGTACCACAGTGTTTTGATTACTATAATTCTTTGGTAAGGTTTGAAATCAGGAAGTGGAAGTCCTCCATTTTCCTTCTGTTTTTTTTTTTTTTTTTTTTCCCCTCTTTGGTTGTTATTTTAAGATGGGGTATCGGGCTGGGGATGTGGCTCAAGCGGTAGCGTGCTCGCCTGGCATGCGTGCAGCCCGGGTTCGATCCTCAGCACCACATACAAACAAAGATGTTGTGTCCGCCGAAAACTAAAAAATAAATATTAAAAATTCTCTCTCGAGCAGTGTGAAGAAGAGGCGAGAACGACCCCCGGACCGACCAAAGCCGCGCGCCGCTGCATCCCCGCGTCCAGCGCCTGCGTCCCGCTGCCGTCGCCACCATGCCCAAGAGAAAGGCTGAAGGGGATGCTAAAGGAGATAAAGCCAAGGTGAAAGACGAACCACAGAGAAGATCTGCAAGGTTGTCTGCCAAACCTGCTCCTCCAAAGCCAGAGCCCAAGCCTAAAAAGGCCCCTGCAAAGAAGGGAGAGAAGGTACCCAAAGGGAAAAAGGGAAAAGCTGACACTGGCAAGGATGGGAATAACCCTGCAGAAAATGGAGATGCCAAAACAGACCAGGCACAGAAAGCTGAAGGTGCTGGAGATGCCAAGTGAAGTGTGTGCGTTTTTGATAACTGTGTACTTCTGGTGACTGTACAGTTTGAAATACTATTTTTTATCAAGTTTTATAAAAATGCAGAATTTTGTTTTACCTTTTTTTTTTTTTTTTAAGCTATGTTGTTAGCACACAGAACACTTCATTGTTGTTTTGCGGGGGAAGGAGCATATGTCACTAGTAGAATGTCTCTAAAGCTGGATTGCTGTGGGGGAAGACACCTTTCCCTTCTAGTTTTGAGAGACTTCCTCTTTGTTCCCAAGAGGAAGGGATTCCCTGATGTTGGCACACATAACCACCTTGGCACAAATGCCTTGTGGTATGGAAAAACTCAAACTCATCTGTATGTCCTCCTGTCCCTCTCTGCCATCGGCATAGACTTAATTCCCCTAAACTCAGACCTATTGGGACCTGATTCCCAACGATTGGTTTTACCAGTGTGTGGGGCAATCTGGACTTTCCAGTGACGTCATTGAGAATAGTGTCCCTCAGAAGAGCAGCAGTTCCTTTTCTAGATTGTGGATCTTCAGATTAATAATTTTTGCCATTTTCCTTTCATTTCCTGAAAGTCAGGGTCGGCTTGTGAAAAGTTGTTAAACAACATGCTAAATGTGAAATGTCAACCCTCACTCTAAACTTTCCCTATTCAGAGCATCAAATGAAGACTTCATTGGGTTTTATAGTGGCTTTCTGATTTTGGTAGTCCATTCAAGAAGGGAGTTTGAAAGTTGTTGTATACTGTTAACGATTGTCTGCCCATGTCCTGCCTGAAATACCATGATTGTTTATGAAAAGTATCTTTAATAAAGCTGGATACAGTTTGGCTTGGAAAAAAAAAAAAAAAAGATGGGGTATCAATTGCTATGTTGCCCAGGGTGCTAGTCTCAAACTTGCAGGCTCAAGGGATTTTCCTACCTCAGACTACTGAGTAGCTGGAAATACAGGCATGTGCCACCACACCTGGTTTTTCTTTCTCCTTTTTCGAGATTGTTTGACTCCTCAATATTCCATGAAATTCCATGTGAATTTTAGGATGGGCTTTTTATTTCTGAAAAAAAAAAAATGTTATGGGCCAGGCTATATGGGCAATGACCAAACAGACTCCATTTTACCTTGAGACTCCATATCATGTAAGAAATGCTTCTCCCATGGAAAAGCCCCGCCTCTGTACCCATTAATAGTTACCTAGCATAGCATACTTGGCAACACAAAATAGCAGTTCTTATACAATGTAAAATTGTTCTCTTTGGTTTCCATTTCTCTTGGGCAATGTACCTTGTCAGAGATTGATTGTCTAGACGTTAGTAACCATTCTCTAACTTATACTCAACTAGGGTCATTTTGACCGGCTTCCCTTCTGCTTGCTTGCTGCTATGCCAACCTGGAAAGGCCTGTGGGATATACTAATGTACCCATTGTACCCATTGCATTGTCTCGCTAACTGCCCAATTCAGCTTCTGTACCTGCTTGCTTGTAGCTACGTCAACCTGGATGTGGTTTTTGCCTTTAAAAATCCTAAATGCTCAGGCTCAGTGCTGTTCCTTGTAGAGACATTTATGGGTTCTGCGGGGGGGCTATTTACATAGAAAATCTATATATTGCTTTGGAGAGCACTATAGTTTGAATCTTGACCCAAAGGTCCATGTGCTAAAGACTTTTTCCCCAGGGTTGCACTTTTTTTTTTTTTTTTTTAAAGGGGAGGTGGGGGGGGGGGAGAGGGGGAGAGGGAAAGAGAGAGAGTGTGTGAGAGAGAGAGAAATTTTTAATATTTATTTATTTTTTTTTAGTTCTCGGCGGACACAACATCTTTGTTTGTATGTGGTGCTGAGGATCGAACCTGGGCCGCACGCATGCCAGGCGAGCGAGCTACCGCTTGAGCCACATCCCCAGCCCAGGGTTGCACTTTTGAGAGAGAGAGAGAGAATTTTTAAAATATTTATTTTCTAGTTTTTCAGTGGACACAACATCTTTATTTTATTTTTAACATCTTTATTTTATTTTTATGTAGTGCTGAGGATCAAACCCAGTGCTCTGGGCATGCCAGGCGAGCATGCTACCACTTGAGCCACATCCCCAGCCCTAGGGTTGCACTTTTGGGAGGAGGTGGAACCTTAGGGAAATGGAGCCTTGTTAGGAATTCCTTAGGTATTTAGGAGTGTGCCATTGGGACTCTGACCCCCTTTTGTTCCTCTGTTTTGCTTCTTGGCCATGAGGTGAGTGGTTTTGCTCCACCAAACACTCCCACCATGACTGCAAATTGGTGCAACCACTCGGGAAAGCAGTATGAAGATTGCTCAGAAAACTTGGAATGGAACCATTTGACCCAGATATCCTACTCCTCGGTATATATCCAAAGGACTTAAAATCAGCATACTATAGTAATGCAGCCACATCAATGTTTATAGAAACTCAATTCACAATAGCTAAACTATGGAACCAACCTAGGTGCCCTTCAACAGATGAATAGATAATGAAAATGTTCTATATATACACATAACACAATGGGATATTACTCAGCCTTAAAGAAGAATGAAATTATTGCATTTGCATGTAAATGGATGGAGATGGAGAATATCATGCTAAGTGAAATAAGCCAAACCCATAAAACCAAAGGCCGAATGTTTTCTCTGATAAGCAGATGCTGATCCATATGGCTAGGGAAGAATGGAGGAACTTTGGATTGGGTTGAGGGGAGTGAAGGGAGGAGAGGGATTTGAGGATGGGAAGAATGGTGGAATGAGACAGACATTATTACACTATATACATGTATGATTACACAACTAGTGTGACTCTGCACCATGTACAGCCAGTGGAATGAGAAGTTGTGTTTCATTTGTTTACAGTGTGTCAAAATGCATTCTCCTATTATGCATAACCAATTAGAACAATTAAAAAAAAAGATGAAAAAAAAAAAAAAAACACTCCCACCATGATATGCTGCTTTCCCACAGGGCAAAAGCAACAGGGCCAATTGATCCTGGGCTGGAAACTCCAAAACTGTGAGCCAAAACAAATCTGTTCTTTAAGTGTATTATTGCAGATATTTTATTTAGTGATGGAATGCTGTCTAACACAGGAAGTATTGTAATTTTTTAATTTGCTATGGATTGAATCCAGGGCCTTACACATGTGAGGCACATGGTCTACCACTGAGTTATATTCCCAACCCTTTTTAAAAGAGACTCTCTTTCACTGAGTTGCTCAGGCTGGCCTTGAACTTGCAGTCCTCCTGGTTTAGATTTCCAAGTAGCTGGGATTACAGACATGCACCACCATGCCCAGCTTGAGTATTGTCATCTTAACAATATTAATTCTTCCAATCCATGAATGTTATCTTTCCATTTATTTAGTTCTTCTATAATTTTTTTCAGCAATGTTTTATAGTTTTCATATATAAGTCTTACACCTACTTAGTTAAATTTGTTCCTCAGTATTTTATTTTTTTCAACGTTATTGTGAATATAATTGTTTTCTTAATTTACTTTTTTTTTAAAGAGTGAGAGAGAGAGAGACAGAGAGCGAGCGAATTTTTTAATATTTATTTATTTTTTTAGTTCTTGGCTGACACAACATCTTTGTTTGTTTGTGGTGCTGAGGATCGAACCCGGGCCGCACGCACGCCAGGTGAGCGTGCTACCGCTTGAGTCACATCCTCAGCCCAATTTACTTTTTGAATTTTCAATGCTGGTACATGGGAAAACAAAAGTTATTATATATTGATTTTGTACCCTACAACTTTGATGAATTCATTTATTAACACATTTTTTAAAAAACTTTCAATTGTAGATGAACATGATACCTTTATTTTATTTATCTTTATGTGGTGCTGAGGATCAAATCCAGCACCTCACTCATGCTAGGCAAGTGCTCAGCCACTGAGCTACAACCTCAGCTCCTTAACACATTTTTTGATACTGAAGATTGAACCCAGGTATGCACTCTACCACCGAGCTACACACCATCCCTTTTCTGGCTTTATATGTGTTTGTTTGTTTATTTATTTGGTACCAGGGATTGAACCCAGGGGTGCTTAGCCACTGAGCCACATTCCCAGGCCTTTTAAAAACTATGGAATGCTTCATGAATTTGTATGTCATCCTTGCACAGGGGCCATGCTAATTTTCTCTGTATTGTTCCAGTTTTAGTATATGTGCTGCTGAAGCAAGCACTCTGGTTTTGAGATGGGGTCATGCTATGTTGCCCAGGCTGGCCTTGAACTTGCAATCCTCCTGCCTCAACCTTTTGAGTAGCTGAAATTACAGGCCTGAACTATCACCCCTGGCTAGCTTGCTCTTCATGGTATAGTTCCTTTCATGTTTCTTATGCTTGTTATTATGATTCTTGGATCTCTGTTTATAGAATTCATTAGATTTGGGAAAAGTTTGGCCATTATTTTTTCTATTCATTCCCCTTCTTCAGGGACTCCAATTACATGTATAGAGCTTAGGGTTTCCCTACAGCTCATTGATGATCTGTTCTTTTTTTCAGTTGAGTATACTTTCAAGTTTATTAATCATTTTTTCTGTAGTATCTAATCTGCTGTTAATCCAATTGAGAGAGAGAGAGAGAGAGAGAGAGAGAGAGAGAGAGAGATAGTGAGTTAGTTTTCTTTTTCTTCTTTCTTTCTTTGGTTCTGGAAATTGAAGCTAGGAGTGCTACAATCCCAGCCCATTTTTTAAATTTTGAGACAGGGTCTCATTAAGTTGCTTAGGCTGAGGCTTGTCTCAAACTAGCAATTCTCCTGCCTCAACTTCCCAAATCACTGTGATTACAGGCATATGCCATCACACCCAGTTCAATTTACTGTATTTTTATAAAAAAAGGCATTGCCTTTTTTTCTCTAGAACTTTGGGATTTTTTTTTAAAAGAAAATGCGTCTGTACTTAATATGTTCAAATTTCCTCTACTTTCTTGAACATATGGAATATAGTTATATAATAACTGTTTCACTATTCCTGTGTTTTAACTATATCACCTGTATTATTTCTGGGTCTGTTTCTATTGATTGATTTTTCTCCTCATTGTAGATCATATTTTCCTGCTTCTTTATCTGCTTGTTATTTTTTTGAATACCAGAGATTGTTAATTTTACATTATTGAGTGGTAAATGTTTTTACTACTGTAAATATGCAGCTGGGTTTAGTGGACACACCTGTAATCCCAGCTACTCAGAGGGCTGAGGCAAGAGGATCACAAATTCAAGGCCAACCTTGGCAACTTAGTGAGCTCCTGTCTCTAAATAAAAAATAAATAAGGGTTAGGGATGTAGCTTAGTGATAGAGCACTTCCTAGCATGTATGAGTCCCAGGGTTTGATCACCTGTATTGCAAAAACAAAACAAAACAAAACAAAAACACTTACTGTAAATTAAACTTTGTCCTGGAAAGTTGGTAAGTTACTTTGAAACAGTTTTATTTTTATCTTTTTTTTTTTTTTTTTCAGTGCTGGGGATGAAACCCAGCACTTCCTCCATGCTAAACTCTGAGCCACACCCCTAGTTCTAGGCAGTTTCTTTATGTGCATGCACTGACCTATTATCAGTGGAAAACATGATGAACATCCCTTGCAAATTTCTAGAGCTTTCTCTCTGTGCAACTTGCTTTTCTCCAGTACTCTGTACTGTACAGAACTTTAGTTACCTTGTTCTCCCTAGACTCCCATCTTTATCTTCTCAACTAAGAGAGATTGCTGAGTTCTGCCTGAGTTCCTCCTTTCTACACTGTGGCCTAACAATTCTCTCTAGGCGAGTATGCTGGAATCATCATTAGAATCATCTTGTTTGTTTTTCAACTTTTTGTGATCATTATCATATGCTTCCAGATGTCTAATATCCAAAGCCCATTGTTTCATATAGTTCATCCTTTTTCTTTGCTGTTTTAGTTGGTAGGGTAAATTACTCAATCTTGCCCAGAAGTAGAAGTAGCTTTGCCTTTTTGTGAGACTAGGATTTAAGATTCCAGAGGTTGGGTTTTTCTGGGCAATGAAGAAGCCCAGGGTGTGAGAGTAGGGGCTTAAATGGAATGGAAAACAAAGTTTCTGGAGTTAAGGCAGAATAAGAGTGCAAGGCTAAATTATGAAATGAGTCGTTTTTGTGAATGCTTAATAGATATAGTTAGTGGGAATGGAACTGGCATTGCAAACAAAGATATGAGGATGGGCAAAGTGCCTGGAGGAATAAATAAGCACTGGTTTCAGAGAACTATAAATTATTTCTTATAGCTGGAATATAAAACACATAAGAAGCTGCTGTGGTTTGGAGATATCTCCTATGAAGTTCAGGTAATGTGGTCTGGGGGTGTGGTTCAGTGGTAGAGTGCTTGCCTAACATGTGTGAAGCCCTGGATTTGATCCCCAGCACTGCAAAACAAACACACAGAATTCAGATGTTGGCCAATGGGATAGTATTAAAAGATGAGGACTTTATATAGGCCATGAGGGGCCCTCCCTTCTGAATGGCATTTAGGCCTTTATAAAAGGGGTTTCCTGCAGCATTTGGCTTCTTAGCTCTTTCACCTTCTGCCATGTGAGGACAGTGTTCTTCCCCTCAGCAGGATGTAGCCCTCACTAGACAACTGAATCTTCTGGCACTTTGATCTTAGACTTACCAGGCTTCAGAACTCTGAGAAATAAATTTCTGTTCTTTTAAAATCCAGTCTCACGTATTCTGTTTTAGCAGCACAAAAACAGAAAACTTGTCAGGAAATGAAATAGGTGACTATATTTGAAGAATCATCTGTTAATGGAAGGAATTTGGAAACTTTCTTCAAAGCAATTGAGAAAGTCAAGAAATTGGATGGTCAGGGAGTCAGTTTGTCACCCAGATTAATTCTCGAATCTTCTTGCTGATGACAGAACATGGGGTAGGTAGAGAGGAAAACTGAAAGCTTGATTCAAAAATTCTTATTGAGCCAGGTGTAGTGGTGCATACCTATAATCCCAGCAACTCAGGACACCAAAGCAAGAGGATCACAAGTTTGAGTCCAGCCTCGGCATATTAGCAAGACCCTGTTTCAAAATAAGAAATAAAAGGGATGGAGGATATAGCAAAGTGCACCTGGGTTCCATCCCCAGTTTCACATGCATACACAATGTTCGTACTGAGTAAGGAGGCTGGGGTGCTAGTTTTAGGGTTGTGGAGAAGGTTGTAAAGCTAAATGTCATAAGTCTCAAAGGAATAGATTTCTTATTTTTATTTATTTATTTTTACTTAGGAGTGGTGGATTTGGCAATTGGGAAACAGGAGACAGCTTCCCTCATCCCCTCCCATCCCCTTCTCTCTGTGGTAGGCAGAGGGTGAGAGAAGCAGCAATCTCCTTCAAGAAAGGGCTGTGGAGGGGGTGAGGATGTGGCTCAAGTGGTAACGCGCTCGCCTGGCATTCATGGGGCGCTGGGTTCGATCCTCAGCACCACATAAAAATAAAATAAAGATGTTGTGTCCACTGAAAACTAAAAAGCAAATATTAAAAAATTCTTTCTCTCTCTTTCTAAAAAAAGAGAAAAAGGGGCTGTGGAGAAGCAGGAGCTCAGGCTAGAGCCCCAGTGCAGTTCAGATAGGGGTAGGGAGGGAAAGGTCCACAAAGAATGCTAGGATTAGTGGAGTTGGCCTCTCAAAGAACAAGGATTCCAGAGGGTGTAGTTGATAGGACTCTGAGAAAAGTGAACAGTAGGAAAAACAGGTTCAGATGTGTGTAAAGGAATTAAAGACTTGAAGGCTCTAATCTTAGTTCTGACCTCTTTTCCTGTCTTGTGAAAGTGCCAGCACCTCCTGTTTGTCATTCTTTCTTTGACGACATTCTTAATGTGATCCTTTGTAACCACTTTTAGTTTCACTTAAACATGCTTTCTGTTTAAAATCCACACGATCAGATTGGAATATCTTCAAGTAAACACATTCTTTGGCCTTTATGAAATGTGCTCTCTCTGTAGCTAAAACCCTGTCTTAAGTCATGTTCCAAAAGGTCAAACTGTTTTCTCTGACAGATAGCCTGCATTCACCACTGCTGTGTCTCCCTGCTCTTGCTGAATCCCTGCTTTCAGGAAAGAAGTGAAAAAGCCCCCTCGTGCTCCCAAGGTCTTCAATTTTTGCCCAGACCTCCATCTAAAGAAGTGCTTTGCAAGTTACTTGTGGAAGTGCTATTCAACCCTATGTCAGGCATTGGGAGCAGATAGAAGTTAGAAAGTTTGATAGATTCTGTGATATACTTCAGATTCATTTTGGGAAAACGGCATCTCATCCCCTTTCAACATTACTTTACATACAGTATTTAATTTTTTTTGGTGGTACTGGGTATTTTTTTTTTTTTTTTACAGTTTTATGACTTTAACTATCAGCAGTTAGTTCTCATCCACATTGACTGTCTGTAGATTTTTGAACGTGGTAACGGGGACATAGTTACCAAAGTATAGAGCTTGTTTGGTGAATCTTCATCCTCGTTATGTTTTCTGGATAATTACACACGAATACGATATGGGACATTCCTTATTCCTTTGGCCCAGACAGCTTTGTTGAGCCTGGTATCAATGCGCTCATCTGGAGTTCCCATCTCCTTCATGGCAAATTTCCGGATCTCTTTGAGTGCCCGAGGGTGAGCACGCTTCTTGAAGCCCACTCCATGGATGCGCTTGTGAATGTTGATGGTGTATTCCCGGGTCACGACCTCATTGATGGCAGAACGGCCCTTCTTCTCGCCACCCTTCTTTGCGGGAGCCATTCTGCCAGGCCCTAGTTGGAAAGCTGGTACTGGGTATTGAACTCAGGGATGCTCTACCACTGAGCTACACCCCCAGCTCTTTTTGTCTTTTATTTTGAGACAGGGTCTCACTGAATTGCTGAGGCTGGCTTGAAACTTGCCATTCTCCTGCCTCAGCCTCCAGAGTTGCTGGGATTACAGGTTTGCACAACCACATCTGGCACAGTATTTAATTTTTATAAACAATTTATAAACAATTTATGATATATATGATATAGGATATAAAAAAAGAAAAAAAAATCTAGGGCTGAAGTTGTAGTGCAATAATACAGAGCTTGCTTAGCACACACAAGGTCCTGGGTTTAATCCCTAGTACTACAAAAAGTAATTAAAATCTACCTGAAGGTATATAGTAAAGAGTAAATTTCCCTTCCTTTTCTACCTTCTGTTCACTTCCCCTCCTTAGGGCCAACTATAGC